GTGTACGCCTCTCGGCGGGGTGGGTTTGTTACAGAGCAGCTAAGTGGCTTTGCAGCATGTGCACTTCGCTAGTTACACCGCAGAAAGCTGCTTTATTGTGCAGAAACTTGGTAGTGTAGACAAGGGCTAAGGGGGCAGGAGAACTGGACTTTAATATTTGGGGAATAGGAAGTGCTCCCATATTGAAAGACGGTATTATCCTGTGTAAAGCAAGAGGGCAGTCAAAAAAAGGCATTTCTCCTTCTCTTTGCCCGGGCCTGGTTTCTGTAACGATAACGTTACACTAACAGAGCTGGTGGTATTTAATTCCTGTTCCCCGTGACGTTTATAGGGGGAGCTAATAGCAGCCCCTCTATTTAGGCTGCCTGACCCTTTCCATAATAAAATCCTCTTGCAGTCTTTTCTTTGAGATGCTCTCACCCCACCATCGTTTGCGGTGGGTCATTGATATTCGGCCCTCAGGCTGGAGAATTGGCTTTTCTTTGTTCCACCAGATTCCATTCAGATATTGCTTAGACAGGGCTTGTCTCCACTTATATTTTATAGCACTCTAACTTGCTGGCTCAGGGGGGTGACAAATCACCCCCCCCCCCCCGAGCACAGCAAGTCTGACCACTTTAAAGCACTAGTGTAGACAGGCTCTGAGCGCTGGGAGCTAATCCCCGGGTGGAGGTGAATTACCGGGAGCGCTGGGAGAGCTCTCTCCGACCACTTGCGCGCGATCACACTCGCACTTCAAAGCGCTGCCGTGGGAGCATTCCCGCGACAGCGCTTTGAAGTTTCCAGTGTAGCCATGCCCATAGAAACCCCAGGGTTTCTATCTTTTTTCATTTGGGGACCCCTAAAACATTTTGAATGGAGGTGCGGACCCCCTTGGAAATCTTAGACAGAGTCTGCGGACGCCCAGGGGGCTGCAGACCACAAGTTGAAAACCACTGTTATGTGGGAATGACGGCCTTTCCCGGACTCCTTAGACCTAGTTTGCCAGCCCCCGTTTGTCCTCGGGCCACAGGTGGAGAACCACTGACATAAACTGTTCAGAACAATCCCCATTTCCTCTCCGGCACTTGTGTTCCTGCCAGAATATCACTGAACTCGAACCTCCCACAGTGCCGCCTCCTGCCGCCACCCCCAAAGCAGCAGCTCCAGCTCCTGTCCTGGGAACAAGTGGGAGCTGCTCTAGCAAGAGGTGTGGGCTTCCCTCACTGGGCACAGAACATGGCTCCAGCGGCCCATGGCACCTCTGGGGGATCACATGGAGCAGGACCTCTGTCCCACCCAGCCCACTGAGCCCAATAGCCCATCACCCACCCAGGACAACAACCTGCTCCTGCTGCCACTGAACATAATGCCGTGGCGCAAGGAGTAGCAGCCTGTGCTGAAGGTTCAAACACACAGAGGGACGTTGCACACTCAGCACATACTGGACGCTGCGGTGTGAAGCCTGGAGACGGAATTCAGTTGTGAATGTGTCAGTCCCAGGGCTGGCTCAGCACGACCTGAGCCTTGGAGACGCAGCTGAAAACCGCAGAGCAGATCAAACGGAGACAGCGCAAGAGAGCAGTGGGTCCCTGCGCAGCCCCCGTGGGCTCGTGTCCCACCAGCTCTGTTTTCCCTTTACGGGGACCCTCTGCTCTGATTGTGGATCCCCCCAGGTTCCTGGAGTCTCTTCAGTCCGTGTGTGGAGGGGGAGGCACATGGGGATGGAGCCGTGTTCTCTAGGCCCTGTGGGGTCCCTCGTTAGACAGGAGGCTCCCAGGGCTGGGGGGCGAGGCGGGAGAGCCCACAGTGGAGGTGGTGAA